GTACGCCATAGTTACCGTCACTTTTGGAACAAACACGACTACCGCGAATGAAGTTACAAACAGTGGACGATCAGCACTTAGCAGCAGGCCAGGACGGAAGATCACCTGACCTTGCAGTTTAACCAATAAAGATTCAACAATAGCGACTCGACTGTTTTGTGTATAATTGTTCCCACATATATCACCATCAGATTGTAAGGCTAGTTGGCTAACGACAAAGACCAATAGAATAGATGGAGCATTTTTATGTGAGTTAAAGGCAAACCCACCAACGTAGCACAAGTTACTCGTCATCCAAACCCTGTACGCTATATCGAAATGAGACTTGGTATTGCGATGGTAATATCCATCAACAATGTAGAAAACGTTCTTTTCTCTGCTAGTGCGCTACACCACGGATCTTATTGGGTGCGCCTCCATTCTCTCATCCCTTTTAGCGCCCAATGTTCGAAAGAAACGTCACAGAAGGATAAAGGAAGCAGGAATTTTTACACAGTCTAACCTATGGCGTGCCGAACCGTCGTTTTCACGATGGTCAGGAGACTGGTAAGCACTATTTGGAACAGTGCCGTATCATCTGTAAAAGCGTTTCCTCAGACAGCGTTGTGGCGCGGTCGATCTAATGGCTAACCCTCATGAAAATACAGAGTGTGCGGCTTATGGATCTGAAGCGTCCTGGTTCAAGCTAAAAAAAAACAAAACAAAAACATATGTTTACAACTGCGGACAGAAAAATTAGAAATGCGTTGCATTCGAGCTTTGGTTAAAGGCTTCAGGGTCTTTGTAAATTGCACAACTGGGTTCAAAGGAAAAAGCAAACCTACCGGCCATTTTTCAGTTGATTCACTCGATAGCATATTCATCTGTTTCTGTTGTTCGTCTAAACGTGGAAATGGACGTACCTTGGCCAAATCTAGTCGCAGGCAGGTTTTCAGTAGCACATTAATTGTCGTATGGTGGCTGACTTCGTGTCAGCCGAAACTCTACCAAACCTCACTTATAACCGCTGTGGGCTTCTAGTGATAGTGAAACCAACCTGCTTTTACACTAATTCTCAAGGCAGGTTCAATAAGCCAGCTGAAATAAACGATTGCCACGTTCCTCAGACACGCAATATCATTGTTGTCACCAAGGCACATATATTTTCAGACTGACGGACGCTGAATTTCCTCTATCGAATCTGCCGCTCATCGGAAATAGTTGGCTCACATTGCTGAAGAGATAATACTGTATTGCTGGAGTGACATACGGCAAGAAGCTACGGAGGATTTCGACTCTTATTTATCCCATTCTCTTTGACTCTGCCTGCACTTACAAGACCGTGACGCCGGCCTCATAAACTTGATGTACCGTCTTCCAAAATTTAGACCACAAATACATTACTTTGCGCCCCCTTTAAAATTCACTCTAAAGGGCGAAAACGCTTACATGTTGTTCACGGATGATTTCAATATACATTGCCTTATCTTGGGCATCTGACAAAATTTATCTTTTAACTGACTACCTTGTCCACCTTAATTCTTGCATAGAGGCGGTTGGACAAGCTGCTCCAATTTCCTGATTACTTTGCTGTTCCTGTCTTATACTATTATTTACTTATGCTGTCTGGCGAACTAGAGTAGCTCTCACCAGAACATACACCGACGTGATAGCTTGTGTGAGAGTAAAGCCTTATTTTACATCGATGTCACCCACACTGGACCTCCAAAATTTGCGAGAGGAGGCTCATAAAATCAAACAGTTTCACACTGATGCGTCCCAGACGAATGGGGCACAATAATGTTTCAGTCTGGAAAACCTTAAATCTTGAAATCAAATTTCTTGTGGTCCTACACATGCAGGCACTTGCAAAATACACGTTCAGAAGCATTTGCCATATCTTTCGGAGGCTCATTTCTTTATTCTTGTCGACAGACGTATGTATCTTATTGGCAGTAGAGGTCCATGCATAGGGATGCATAAAATGAGCTAAAATTGATAAATCATGCGGAATCTATCTAATTAATTGTTGGGGATTACAGGCTCATTCGAGTCATATGGACACTGAGCTAAACTGGCTTATTCGTGTAGACCAGACTCATGTTGTCTCGGGACAACATTCACAACCGCTTAAAGTTAAACAATTATGGAGCTTTTATTTAAGCAGTGGTTTCTTCAACTAACTGGCCTCTGAAAACCACAGGCTGAAATATTTTGACCATTGCCTAATTACAAAGTCACGTAACTTCGCACAGGCAAAGCATTCTATAGTGGCTTTCGAGCCATTACCTGTATATATTTTTATATATTATTCTGGGTTGTATTACGTACGCTTGGAAATGTGTTTTGCGGCCACTGGGTCATACATCGTAAGTACTACTACTTTGAAGCTATATTACGCATTTCTTGTTACGCAACTCTGGCAACATTCTATAGCAATTATCCACTTTCTATAGTTTTTCTTATTTTCATGGTATTTACTTGAACTGTTATACGGCATTTGACTATGGTAGTAACAGTTGCGCTAGTACCCTGGAATATTTGAGGGTAATGCGGTTATTTTACTGTTATCGTGCAAAGCGATCAAGCGATGCTCTGACTAACATATCTAGTATTTATTTTTAGCAGAATTTTCACTACAAAACGTTTTTAATTTCGGCTGATGTTAAAGCCATTTGTGTTTGGCACTCGAGGTCATCTGTTAATCAGATGTATTTGTTAGACGTTACGCTTATGTGTTCCAGCTAAATACCTTGGATTGTCTTTTGCTTTTAGAAGATATTTAGTTTTAATTTTTTCATTCATTTTTATGAGAACTCATTATAAATCTTTTGCTTTTCGACATTTCTGATGCCATCTCTTTCCTCTCTTTCCTTGAGCCCACCATTTATCAGGACCCGTAATTTACCGGAAATGGATAATGAAGTTGGGATTAAAACCGTTGACAGACGGTTTCTACAGCGTTGGTGTACGGTGATTAGAAGGTGTACAAACCGGCCTTTGTGATATAAAATGCAGCCGATAATATTGCGAAGCATGAGGATCGACTGTGGAATCCAGTTACTATATAACAGAACGCGTTGAAGCCTGTAACCGATTAGCAGCCACCTGAAGCAATCGTCTATTGAACTATTGCGCGCCCCAAAAGCCATTCCCGCCATTCTGATGCAGTGCTTCTGATCAAGGAGAAGGTAAAATTAACTTCATTCTTACACATGCGAGAGCATGTGTTACTGTACCTTATGGTATGACTACTGTAGCAGTCTGGAGATTCCCCGGTTTGCTTGTGTAAAATTCTAACCAAAATCCTATAATTGTACACTTAGGCAACCGGTGTGGTTTGTTGAACTGCTTGCTGAGTTCGAATGCTTTACTTGCTCATCGCCATTTTTTGCTTGGCGCTCGCTTCGGTTGCAACGCGCAACTGCTCTGTGTGCTGTGCTTGATCCGTTCCCCTAGCTAGAGCGTCCACGGTGTCGTTCATTTATAGCTAGCTAACATGGAATCTTTTGTTGAACCAATAAAAGTTTCCCTGCAACTCGATCTGTCTTCTGGAATCGCCCTTTGGGCTCCCGGAATAGGCAACCCTCTAAATCGGTGACCCCGGATCCGGAACAATCTGAACGCCGGATATTTCGAACCTTTCTCCGGTGAGCTCGTTCCATTTATTTTTCATATTTTCCGGTTTTATTTTTGCATACGGTAGCCTATTTTTCGCGTCATTCTTTCAAATCATAGAATCTGTAGACCATAAGGTAGAGTCTCTACTTAGTGTTGTATCTCTCTCAGTTCCACCTTTTTGGGACATGGATCCTGTTTTGTGGTTCGCTCATCTTGAGGCCGAGTTTTATAACCACAGAATCACTTCCGACTACGCGAAGTATTGCAAGCTCCTGTCCTATCTCCCCATGGAAATATCAATGCAGGTTCGTGACGTCATCATTTCTCAGACCGAAAACCGCTATGAGGCTCTCAAGGAGGCCACGATTAAGCGTGTTATGCCCTCTGAGAAAGTTCGCCTGCAGCAGCTTTTCAGGGATCTGCAGCTGGGCGACAAACTGCCCTCAACCCTGCTACGAGAGATGCAGCAACTCCTTGGTTCTTCAACCATGGACGAGACTTTACTTCGCGAACTATGGCTACAACGGCTACCGGAAAACACGCAAGCGATTCTCGCTACAGTGAGCTCCGTTTCCGCTCACTCAACTAGCAGACTTAGCGGATCGAGTTATTGAACGATCACAGCCACAAGTCGACGCCAGCAAGATGAATGCCGTCGCGTCCCAGGGCACTTCTATCACTGGCTTACAGTCAACTATAGAAGCCCTGCAAGCACAAGTTGCGACACTTAGTCGCCAGGTGCAACAGCTTACTATGACCCGTCGTCGTCCTAGCCGCTCAAAATCGCCCTTCAAACTTTCTCAGTCTAGCAACAGGCAAGCTAGCTGTTGGTATCATCAGCGCTTTGGTACCGCAGCTCGTAAATGTATCAAGCCTTGCAACTTTGCCGAGAAGCAGGGAAACCTCGGCCGTTCCGTAACGGCGACGGACGCGACCGGCCAACACCAAAGTCGCCTCATCCGCGTTAGGGATTTAACTTCCGGCACCGAGTTTCTAGTAGACACTGGTGCCGAAGTTAGCGTTATACCCCGTAGCTCAGATGAGGTCGTCTCACCATCGCCGACCAAGCTGCGTGCCGCCAATGGCACACCAATCGCAACTTTCGGCGAAAAGCTGCTAACGCTCAACTTAGGCCTCCGGCGAACCTTTCGCTGGCCTTTCATAATCGCTGCTGTGCCTTTCGCCATCATAGGCATAGACTTTCTGCAACGCTTCGACCTGATCGTCGACGCTAAAAGGAAGAAGCTTATTGACTCTAGGACACAGCTCAGTGTTATCGGGACTAGCGCCAACGTGGCTGCTATCACTCCCATTCGTGTCCTACCTCAAGCTTCACAGTCTTTTCTAGAACTTTTCAGCAAGCACCCTAAACTCGTTCGCGTCCTGAACGACTTGCCTCCTGTGACGTCAAACGTCATGCATCACATCTGCACTAAGGGCCCACCTGTTTCGGCCCGCCCTCGCCGACTAGCCCCGGACAAGCTCAAAGCTGCTAAGGCGGAATTCGAGCAAATGCTCGAACTGGGAATCATCCGCCCGTCCAAAAGTCCATGGGCATCACCATTACACATGGTGCCGAAGAAATCCGGAGACTGGCGTCCCTGTGGTAACTACAGGGCACTTAACAAAGTTACCGTCCCGGATAAATACCCTATTCCGCACATACACGACTTGACCTCAGCTCTAGCTGGCAAGTCTATCTTCAGCAAAGTCGACTTAGTTCGCGCCTATCATCAGATACCTGTCGCGCCAGATGACGTTGCTAAAACAGCAGTCATCACGCCATTCGGTCTGTTCGAATACCTCAGAATGCCTTTCGGCCTCAGCAACGCTGCCCAAACTTTTCAGCGTTTCATTCATGAGGTAACGCGAGGGCTCGAAGGCGTTTACCCTTATCTAGATGACATTCTTATCGCGAGCTCTTCTGATGAAGAACAACTTCATCACCTTGACGCTCTCTTCCAACGCTTGAGCCAGCATGGGGTTACCGTCAACCTCGATAAATGCGAGCTTGGTCAAAGTTCCATCGATTTTCTTGGCCACCGCATATCTACCGCTGGTATCGAAGCCCTGCCAGACAAAATCCAGGCACTGAAGGACTATCCTGCTCCCAGTTCCTTCAAGCAGTTACGCCGATTCCTTGGCCTGGTTAACTATTATCGACGCTTTATTCCTAACTGCGCAAGCATTGTTCAACCAATGACTGACTTGCTCCGCGGTAAACAACGCTCTTTTCACTTTACAGACGACGCTAAATTGTCTTTCGAGAAGCTCAAAGACGCTATCTCCAACATAGCGCTTCTCGCCCATCCAGACACGTCTGCATCACTCTCTCTGACAACTGACGCATCAGACACTGCCGTCGGTGCAGTTCTTCAGCAACTCATCGACCATCGATGGATACCTCTAGGTTTCTTCTCAAAGCGCTTACAACCTGCCGAATCGCGATACAGCACCTTCGGTAGGGAACTGTTGGGTATCTACCTAGGTATCAGACATTTCCGTCACTACCTCGAAGGTCGACATTTCACCGTCTTCACCGACCACAAGCCATTGATCTACGCAATCAATGGCGCAACAGACAAGTACTCGCCGCGGGAAACTAGACACCTAGACTACGTTTCTCAGTTTACGACAGACGTACGTCATGTCTCAGGTGCTCTCAATCCCGTCGCGGATGCGCTTTCACGCATTCAGCAGATCAGCTTATCGCCTGGCACAAACATTGATCTAGCCGCCATGGCTCCTGCCCAACAAGCTGATCCCGACATAAGCAAGCCTCGACGCAACACCACTGAGACGATCACCATTGATCGACTCAAGCCAGCATTCTTCGACAAGTCTGACTCGCCGGTGCAACAAGCACCTTCACAGCCTGTGCCATCACAGCTGGCACCGCAACCTCAGACGAGCCTGTCCGCTCCAGCAGAACCGACAACCACAACCGACAGCACTCCTACCCGCCCTACTCTCAATCAACGCGGTAGGAAGCTCAAACCTAAGGTTTGTTTTTCGGACTCAGTTCGCACTTACTTTTTTACGTAGAACGTGCCTTAGAAATTTTCTGCTCTTACTAAACGTTTTTGAAAATCCACAAAAAAAGACCAAAACGTTTTGAAACTACCAAAAAAGAGCAAAACCTTTTGAAAACACCAAAACAGCTTTGCACGTTTTTCGCTTTGCACTCTTGTGTATTGCTATGCATTCATGCTGCTTTTTCGTTTTGCTTTCCATATACACCCCGTCGGCTGGTTGCACCTCAGTTTCACTTTCGCTGGATCCCCGCACGTCAACTGCAAGTGGAACGAACTTCCTGCTCAACTGCCTACGTGAACTTTATTAACTGTCCCTCCCTACAAACAGTTTTTTTAACCGTTTCGACACCGTAGGGAGGACACGGGTGGGAGCCCGCTAGGGTCCGATTGCATGGTTCTCCTCCAGCAGCTGCATCGGGTTTCACAACCTGGTCTCGCAGAAGGCTGGCCTGCGACGGACAGTCCTCACGTAGGTATCGATGCCATTCGATCAGAGACACATGGAGCAGCATTATGACAAGCAGGGGACTCATTGGTCTAATTCTTCCAACGCTGTTAAGACTAGCGCTAGACGCGTGTAGGGGCTTGTACTAATATCTCCGATTCACAACTGCAGAAGCAGAACTTAGTCCTCACACTACCGCCCGGTACCACTTCTTCCTGTACTGTTCAAGTCATGGAAGCTAATGTTGCGGATGCGTTGGTGTGTTACTAAGGAACTACATAATTACGTCCGTACAGCAAAATTTCCGTTGATAGCGATCTTGGCTAACCAATCTTATCTAGTAGACTACATAAAGTGAGTCTTTTAAGATTTTAGAGAGCGATGATGTGATCATCCTAGCCGTGATTACGACACTTACTTGTTTACATAATCGGATACTGCCTTTCAAACTCCAGTATTACGTGATCAGTGGCCCTTGCTAAGGTTGCACTGTTATCATTCTTTTCCAACGGCAATTAGTCGTTAGAGTTTGTAGGTCATTATTTGACACCATGCACGTCGCGAATGGCGCGCCTCAGTGCTCAGTTCTAGGGCCACGATTGTTTTGTATCCATTTATGACCTCACATAGGCAATCATTTTAAAGTTCCTGAAGACAACAAGGGTTGGCGCAAGAGTCACGTGAATGCAGACGAATATCTAGTTCACAGTGAGCTAAGCACAATATACCAGGGAACAATCCGAAATGTACTGCAATTCAATGTGTGTAAATGCTAGGTACTCCCCATATGACACCAGAAGAACTATTCTTACACAAGTACTGCAACGGTCTTCCGTCAAAGACGACTTGAGTGTTCTGGTTCAAGATGACTTGTGTTGTTCCAGGCAATTGTATGAGCATAAGAGCTAGTAATCAGCACGTCGAACTGTTGAAACGTTCGTCCGGATAATTAAAGTTTCCGTTATCTGGCTAATGCTTAGAGTGTATGTTCACCCCTATGTCGAAAATGCAATCCAAGCTTGACATCGGTGGAGGAAACACGACCTTAGTGCACTAAAATCGCATCAAAGTAGGGCATCTGAGTACGTCATTGGAATTCGCAATCTACCGTACAAGCAGGGCCTGCAATTCTTAGGGGCAACCTTACAATGGATTGTTTATCTATGCAAGAATCACATATTACGTACCACTCTTTACTATTTAGAACTAGGCGCACTTCTTTTATGAAACTTGAGGAGGGCCCTATAGTTCGGTAGACGGTAAAGTCCGAGCAACTATCGGAGAAGAGACGCGGGTTGCTGGGTGAGGAAAATTATGGATTATGCACGTAGCGTTATCTCCCTGCTTACTACTATTCTGTGATTCATTGAACCAAGGTGTGCTTGCATACCCCATTACCCTTTTCTCTATGATTTGATCACTCAGCTTCGGAAAATATGATACTAATCTGTTGGGTCTGGAGACATGATATCGTTCCGATCCCCCGAACAACGCCACCGGAATGGCAAATGATACTTCCTGGCTGGTGTCACAATGATGCCAACAAGTGGTTGGCTAGCCGCACAACCTCCTTATGGTGCCAGCTGGGTGATTCAGGTTTATCCCGTTCTAGCAAATAGTTCGGCGGCAGTGTTCCAGGACATGGTGGGTTTTCGCCTGTCAAGCGTTCTCCTTATAAAAAGCCACAAACGTCTGCTTAACGACACTGTGACGTGGCGGTCGTGACTCGCCACAAAATAAAGCCTCCGCCGCGTGGATATCCGGATAATCCCTCCCAACCCACGGACACCATGCTTCTACCCGCAAATTGCTGACGGTAAAAACATTCTTGAATAGAGCAGCACAAGTATAAGCACAAACTACACCGCTTCATACATAACACATACTTACGTACCCCGCTACACAAACGTACACTGTTATGGCAAACATATCGGACTTTTGCACCTTCCTGATCACGCAGCGTTATGTCAAAATGATCATGCCTGTAACAGCGTGCCTCGACTTGTCAAGCATAAAAACTTTAATTATTGATTTATTTAATAATGTACCGTGGGTCTGTACCTTGTCATCATAGTGTTGAGGATGGCCATCCACCCACATTAACGGAAGGTAGTGACATTGTGAGATAGCATACCCGCGACGCTTTCTTAGTGACAAGATTGTGAAGAACTTAATGGCGAACCACGCTACACAAATCATCGAATTATGCGCAAAAGGGGTTAGAGAATTTGAGTGACGTACTTCGGTATGGCGCTTTACGGGCCAACAACTATAAGTTACACATACCCACACAGGGTTTCATTGCATCCTATAAAAATCTTGCATATCAACCGGACTTCATCGCACATGTCCGGGACTTTATCCAAAAGGTCCTTATGGTGCCTTTGGAACTCGAGGTACGTTACTGATGAACGTGCAAAATACACATGTTGCCCGGCACTATAATCACGACCACTTGAAGGTATAGAAAAGGTAGCTTTTACCATTATTTTATTTCGTTACTTCTCAGTATCCTCAAAAGAGTGCTCGAGGGGCTCATCTTAACATTGACTCATTGAGGCTAGTATACAGATATTGCGTTTACGTAAGGTCCAGCATAAATAGCTTAGCACAATCACGATGTTACACGCGCTAATGTTAATTTTCATTACGCACGAAAAACCAGACGTTTGATCTACATCCATGCTGTGCCCCGGCATATTTGATGCGTCTTGTTACCTTGAATCCATCTATCTGCACTTATGTTAAGTTTTTCTTCGTGTTACGCTTGGAAAGTAAAACAGTAATTTTAGCGAAAAGTAAC